CCGGAAAAAGTGCCCTTTTCCGGAGGGTCTTATTCCTACTTCGAAGTAGGCTTTTAAAAAAGCCGGAAAAAAGCGGCGGACATTTTTATTTAAATGCCGCGGGGGATATTTAAATCCCCCGCGGATTTCCCTACGACGACTGGTGAAATTTACATGCCCCTTCCGGAAAAGGGGCCAGTGTAGACGTAGCCTGACTGTGTATAACTTCTTTAAAGGGAACACTGGCCTACTGTAACCCCTAGGACATGCTATGAGCTTCAAACGACCATTTGAAGCAATGCACTAGCCAGGCTAGCATGTCTAATTGAGTGGATTTCCAGGGAAATACTTGATTGAAGGAGAATGCAAATTAGCCATCTTTGGGGACCCAGCCTTTTGAAGCCATCTCTGAGGAGAAACTTTTTGTTGAGCGCTTCTTACAGGAGGAGATCTGAGTCCCAAACTGGATAAAAGCATGACTTAGAGATTTAAAGGGGTGCTTGTTTTTATCAATTTATCCCCATAGTAAAATTCCTGTCTAGCTTTTCAGGACTGGTCAGCAGTAGAGCCCTTGTTAGACTAGCGGGATGATCCCTGGTAAGTTTTTTAGCATGCATGTAGGTTCTTTTAGTGGTTGTAATGTGTTTGCTCTGTAATCTTCACTACCTGAAGGATAAATGTGCTTGCTTTGAAATAGCTGTGTGGTAACTTTGCTATGACCAATTACACTGTTTGTAGCCTCTGTGAAGAAAAGCAAAGTTGACCTGCTTAGGCGGTTAGACTTTGCTGAGAAATTTACAGTATAGGCAGAGAACCATACAGCCTAGAAATACAGTGGTCAGGAGGGAGAGAGATGATGGCCATCAGAGGGGTGAAGGCTGAGGAGCCAGAGCCTAGAGTATCTGCCCTCGCTAGAACATGAAGGGAGAATAAAGGTGTAGTTGCTCTGAATTGTGTCACACTATGCCATTTAATATACTTGGCTTCTTCTCGCCAGGTGTCCAATATTGGCCCGGATAGTCCGGTATTTGCCTCCACTGTCTAGTAAAAAAAACCCAGAAAATACTGGACATATAAAATGTCCAGTATTTTCTGTTTTTCTCGGACGGAAGGCTGCTTGGGACATTCTTCCCCTGTCACATATGGCGGGGGCGGGGGGAGGGAGCAGGGACCATGGGAATTTAAAGGCACACTGACTGGGGTTTTTTTTGTGCAGTTGTTTGTTGTTGTTTTTTCGGTTGGTTGGGTTTTGTTTTTGGTTTTGCTCAAACAATTTTTTTCCGGACATGTTCTGTATTTTTTGTGAAAGTATCTGGCAACCCTATGTCTGTCCACACTTCTTGCATGATCCGTTAGCTGTTCGGAGTTTGTTGTGGTGGGGGAAGATACAGATACATCACTGTGGGAGTGGGATGGATCAGAAATTCTCTCTTTTCCCTGCTCTCTAAGCCCACGCCAACTTTCTTTGTAGTTTGGTTTCCTGTGCACAGCTGGGGAGAGGGTAGCGGGTAGTACACAATGCTGTATCACTACATTTCCAGGAAAATCACAATTATTTGTAGAGGAACCATTGTTCTTCACCAAACTGCACTGAAATACAGCCCCAGGGATTCGTGTGCAGCTTTTTTTTTTTTTTTTTTTTAAACTTGAGACAATAACAATGCTTATACAATCAGCACATGGCCACGTCACCTATTCTGATGTGCACTAAGGTATGATCAGGTTTACCAGCTTCCTAAAACTTGCTTTTCCTGTTAGCTGTGAGGAACTAGTGTCTTGTGATCGAGGAGTCAGATATTTGAAAAGGTATTCCCCTTTAAATGAGAGGATCCAGAAATAAAAGCAGTGAGCAAACAGAGCACTCTATGCAACAAGTGACTGCAGTGTGGGAGCCATTTACTGCTGCATACGCCTCAAAGAGGAGCAAAAGGAATGGCAAACAGCTGTGCAAAGCACTAAGAGAACAAATACCAGGGCCCTCAAAGGAGGCGGGCATGAGGGACAAAGGAGGCAGTTGCCCCTAGGCCCAGCAATTTAAAAGAGCTCCAAGCTACCAGCTGCCACCATTGCTACCATGGCAGCGGCAGAACCTCAGGCCCTTTAAATCACGGTTGGAGCACTGTAAGGCACAGTCCAGGGGCAGTGAGAGCTGGAGGAGGAAGGCTAACCCTAACCCCCCCTTCTTCTGCCCAAGGCCCCACCTTTTCCAGAGCTAAGGTCCCCCACACACACATTGTCCAGGACCTGGCAAATCTGTCACCAGCCCAGTCAAATACTTCCGAGTAGCTCCAAAAAAAATTAAAAATGTAAACAGAAAAAAACAAACACACAAATGTGTCAAATAAACAAAAAAAACCAAAACTTTTTCTGCCTGGAAGATTTATATCCTGCCTACCAGGGACTTTGCTCTTGACAATCTACTTCATGCTAAAGGTACTCACATACCATGGTGACGGGTAAAAGTCTCAGGAGTAGTTGTGTTTAGTCTGTAACTTTAAAAAAAGCTTAAAAAAGTAGTGGTCCTGTAGCACCTTAGAGCCTAACAAAAAATATAGATAGTATTATGAGCTTTCATGGGCACAACCCACTTCTTCAGATGACAAATATGATAGTGGTGTGATGATGAGTGGCAGTGTAAACCAGACAGACTGCCACAGAGGTCAATTAGCACCAAAACAAAAGCAGCTCTTTAGCGTCAAAACAGGGTAACAGGGTTACAAAAGAGCCTTCTAGTTGTAAGCCTTGTGCCACCCTAAACAAACACCCGCTGCCTACTTGGTGTTTGCACCCTTCCTTCTTTTAGGGAAATAAACTTCCTATTTACTGGTGAATAGTCTTATCAGCAAACAGCAAACTTCTGGGAGGAGGAATGAGAGTGGATGCAGGGTGACCATCCTTCACTTCTAGGATTATTACTGGGCAGGATTTTAGACAAGGACTACACTGAGCCAAAGGCTGAAGTAATGGCTAACACACCTGCCAGCACACCATAGCTCCAAGTGGACACGGTGTACCTCCTTGGAGCACGGTTACTCTTCCGTCTCCCTGTGCATATACTGCTTTGGGCCTCCTATCTTAACATAAGAGCAGGAAGGTGCATTACACAGCCTTTCCCCCCACGTTCACATAAGTTCTGCTGCCCTAGGGTCAGGGAGAAATGGGTCAGGGAGCTTCCACTCCTTCTTCCCCTCCCCCGACCCCACTCAATGCATCAAGGACAGAATTTTGCCAGCATGTTTCTGAAACCAGCTGATGCTGTTGGACAATAAAGGTGGCACTAAGATTAAGGTAAAACAGATGAAACCCTGGTCCTATTGACATCAATGGGAGCTTTGCTATGACTTCTGTAGGGCTAGGACTTCACCCAATCTGTGCAGCAAATATAACAGGTTAAAGTGCCTCTGAACAGAGCCAGTACAAATGGCCTGATAGTCAAGTATGTTCAGTCACCACTAATATAGTCAGCATCTGCAGGCATTAGGTACCAGAGGGCTGTGGTTACATGGAGAGAATTATTATTTCTCATCAGCCATCATAGACACATATTATTGTCTGGCATTTTTCTCTGATTAGAAACTGCTTTGAGGGGTGAGGCCATCATTTTCTCTGTTAATGTCATTCACTGACAAATCCTGATTTTAAGAGGAATAAGGGATCTTCAGGAAAAGGCTTTATTTTCTGAAAGATCCCATCTAGACTGGCGCTTTTCTCCGGCAAAGCCCCGAGCCGGAAAAAAGTGGCAGCCATGTTCATGCAAATGCCGCGGGGGATATTTAAATCCCCCGCGGCATTTGCAATTCTGACTTGTCTCATTAGCATCCCTTTTCCGGAAAAGGGTGCCAATGTAGACACAGCCACGGTGTCTGGGGAGCAAGAGCCCAGTCTTAGTTCCCTGGACAGCCAGCCAGGCAACACAGCCACAGTGCCCTCAACACCTGTGCATCAAGTGTGTAGGTGGCATGACTACTGCGCTGCCATCCCCAGTACAGCGGGTGGCACAGCTGCAGAGCCCCAAATCCCCATGCTCCAGGCAGTTGGGCAGAGGGGCTACAACACCTCCAGCCCCTGTGCACTAGGCAGTGTGGCCACATGCTCCGCATCGCTTCTAACCGAGGTGCTCAGGGCTATGTGGCTACGGTAGCCCCAACCCCAAAGTGTCAGGTATCTGGGTGGTACGGTCTGAGCACTAGGTGGGCAGCGCAACCCCAGCATCAGTCCCTATGAGACAGATCCCAGCCCCACCCAGAGCAAAGCTGGAAGTAAATGTCAGGAGAGTGCCCAGCCTAGGGATGGAGCCAGACTGCTTGGGGAGGCACAACCTTCATCGCCCATGTATTATAAGGTTGCCAGATACATTCACAAAAAATACCGAACATGTCAGGAAAAAAATTGGTTGAGCAAAAAACAAACACAAAAAACCCCAACTGCAGCAGGGGAAGAATGTCCCAAGCAGCCTTCCCTCCCAGAAAAACAAAATACTGGACATTTTACATGTCAAGTGTTTTCTGGGTTTTTTTTTAACCGGACAAAGGCAGCAAATACCAGACCCGGTGGGCCAATACCAGACACCTGGTGACTCTAATGCAGGGCTAGGATAGAGACAGCTTAAGCTCAGCCAGGGCTCCTCTGGGCCAAGACCTGAGCCAGGCTTTATTGAGATGCTCTGAGGACCGCCCAGTGAGCCTGGACTTGGGAAATGCATTTTGCAGCCTGATCCAATTCCGAGCCCAGTGCCCAGGGCTCAGTGCCTGACAGCGCTAGACCAGGCTCAGGGAGGATGGCCGCTCTGCAGGGCTCAGGCAGGGCTTGGGGACGGGGGACAGTCAGGGCTGCGGATCTGAAACCATCTCCCATAGCTCCCGCCTAAGCCCAGGGCGCCGCCAAGGAGCGTGCCAGGCCTCGCACCGCGGCCGCTGCTCGTCAGGTGGCTCCTCGCACCGCCTCCCGCGGGCCCGGGGAGGAGGGGAAGCCGCCAGTCCACGCTCCGACTAGGGCAAGTCCAGGCGCGCCCGGCAGCAGCCGCCACGTGCCTGGGCGCCGAACCAACTTGCCGCAGCACGCCAGCCCTGCCGGCCGCTGATTGGCTGAGAGCAGGGCCGCGGAAGGCGGGATTCCCTTTTGCTTTTCTTACCTCATCCCAGGCTGGGAACCCCCCCCAGGCAGCGGCACCTTTATCGCGCGGCGGCGAGTCGCGGGCAGCCAGAGCCCCTGAGGCCAGCGAGAGGAGCGCGTCGCTCGGCACCGTCCTGCGCCTGACACGGGCCCAGGCAGCTTGATCGCAGCTCCCCGCGAGTCCCGCCCGGCGGAGCGAAATGATGCCCGGAAAGCCCCTGCGCAAGGGCGCGCAGCAGCCCCCGGCGCCCGCTGCAGGTACCGTGGGCGCCCGGGGACTGAGCCGGCCTCAGACCCGCGCTGGAGACTGATGATCGCGGGCTAAAGCCGTGCCGGGGATTGGGGGGGTTAGAGAGTTTCGCTGCGTTGGGGGCGGTTTTGCTTTCAGTTCCCTGCGAGCCGGGTAGGTTTCGGTTTCCCGCTCGCCGGTGGCCAAGGTAACAACCAGGATTTGGTAACTTCTTGCGCAGCGGGCCCTGGGGTGGGTGAGCCAGAAGGAAAGCTGGACGGGTGGTGTGGCCCGATGGGGCTGTGTCATTAGAGGCTCCCCCCCCCCCCCCCCCCGCCAAACCCGGGCCTGTTTTTGGGTCGGGATTCAATGTAAAATTATTGTAATGACCCCTCCTTGGAGAGTTCGAGTCTAGTTTCACAGCTATTTTTGCCAGCGAATTTCATTTTTTTTTTCAGAGAACAGACGCTCCTGTTGTCTGAAACAGCCGAGGCGGCTGTTTAACTGTACAATCTAGCGAGATCAGAACAGTTATTCTCTGTGACATGTCCTGGGATCCGTGCGATTCAATGTAAAATTATTGTAATGACCCCTCCTTGGAGAGTTCGAGTCTAGTTTCACAGCTATTTTTGCCAGCGAATTTCATTTTTTTTTTCAGAGAACAGACGCTCCTGTTGTCTGAAACAGCCGAGGCGGCTGTTTAACTGTACAATCTAGCGAGATCAGAACAGTTATTCTCTGTGACATGTCCTGGGATCCGTGCTAAATTCAAAAAAATGTTCAAAGAGTAGCACTGACACTTAGGGTAACATTTCTTGTGCAAACTATGGAATGGGAACATTTTATTACATTCTCCCCTGCTAAGAAGCTAGAGACCTACCAAAAGTTTTTAAAGGTTTCTGAGTTTTTATTTTACAATTTGAAAGGTTTTGAAACTGTAAATTTATGTTATCAGCTGTGTAAGCAACAGTGTACCTTTAACATGCCTCTTGTCCTCTGGTGTGAGATAAATGATAATATAAAAGCTATTGCCTGTAGACAAGGAAGTCGATAGATTGGTACAGAAACAGGATTTATGGTACAGAATTGCCAAAGCTGAGGGCTGGTATTCCTTTGTTTTTAACAGAGCAAGAATCTATAATCCAATGTGCTTTGCAACTGAGAAAAATAGGAGATATTCTGAATTTGCAGCAGAAGATTCTGAATGTGATTACAAAACTGTTCTGCCCAGGAACGTGAACACTCTTTGGAGATGGCAAACAGAAAAGAAAGGAAGAAAACAATGGCTTTGGAAAATACGGTCTTTACAAGCCTGTGAAAAGCGATTTGAATGAAATGAGAAGATGGAATGAGCATTACTTACACTGATTGTTCCCACGGAAGGAAAGCTGTCGAAATAGACTTTTTCTGGAGAGCTCCACAGATGCATTTTCTGGTGGATGTCTGTGGGGGAAAACATTGGAATTAATTATTCCAAAGACTGACCTGTGGAGTGAATTAGAAGAGCAAGGAACCATGGCTTCTCATATGATAAGTGTGTTGATGTCCCACTTCATGAGATGCATCTAGTTCTATTGCACAGGCAGAAAATGCCAGTTACCTCCAAACACTGGATTGGAATGTACAATGAAAATTAAGTTCTTGGTTGTTTTTGTTTTCTAAAATGTAGACTCTGTTGGACAAAGCCTCGTGTGGAACATTATTCTTTTTTTATTGAAGCACATTTTCTATCCATGATGTAATTTGTTATACAGGTGTTTCTCTAATAAATAACATTGTAATTCTGTTATTTACAAGGTTGCTGCATGGCTCTATAATGTATATACATGCATGAAAAGAGTATTTCATGGAATTTAAATAGATGGTTATACACCAGAAATAGTGTAGATAACTATTCAAATGGTGCTATAAAGAATGCATTAAAAATTAAAGGAAGCATGGTAGCTTCTTGTGATTAAGAAAGTATAGCATACAGTCAGTATTCTAAGAAAATTACTGAATAAGGAAATGTAATATATTAAAGCATGTATTATATCACAAAATAAGTTAGAGAGGTGTGCAAGGTTGAAGGAGGATTCCTTCACATCATCAGAAGGGCTATTTAAGCAGAATAAGCTACTGTTTTAATTTTATTAGTTGGTAATAAAATTACTCTCAGAACAAATAGAAATTTAAACTAAAATGGAATCTGCAGTTTTCTGGAGAAAAAACATGAATTCTTTTTTTCAAAAGCAACTGCTTGGATAAAGAGATAGCCATAAAGCTGAATGTTGCAATAGTTATCAGAAAGCAATGTATTGCTTCTAAATGAAAGCTAAGACTTGGGAAATAAAGGTTAAGAAAAAAAATCTCAGCTCTCGTTTGGTGTCAAACCATTTTTGTTTGTAATTATGAACGAAGAAGCTATTATTTTGTCTAATGGATAGTGATGTTAGTGAAATGTTTGTTATAGCCTTATTGACAAGCTACATTTGTGTATGGCTTGGAGAATAGACTTGCTCTGTCATTCAGGCCCCTAAAAAGCAATTTTTCTGCTTATATATTTTAAAAGCCCCATGAGTCAAATTCAAGAGACAGTGCAACTGTCTTAGGCTTAAGACATTCCTAAGCCAAATTAATCAGTCTTAAATGATGGGCTAAATTATACATGGGGCGTATGAATAGTATGAAAATATTGTAACTTGCCTAAGTTTGGTATTATTTTGGTGTGCAAAATAAGGGTCAGTTTCAGGCAGAAAGAAGATGGAGTAAGAAAAATCACTTGAATTCTCACTCTTGCTTCTACTGCACTTTCTTTTTGCATAAAATTGCATCTGTCGTATTACCTTCTGAAAGCCAGATCAGAGCAAGTTATACTATTTCACTGCTTGCATCCATTAGGCGATCCTTTGCCTTTCGTGTGTAATTAATTCCATGCTAGATCACCAATTAATTTGGTCCTATGATGTTTCACGAATCTGTTTTCCTTTTGTGTTTTTACTGTAAAACTCTTTCAGTACCAAGGGCCAAGTATCCAGCTATCTGATTTGCTGACACTGATGTCATTTGGGATTATCTCAGCAGATGCTGGGGTTTTGTTTTTTGTATGTAAAGGGCCCAATCTGGCTCCCAGCAAAGGCACTTTTGCATTGGCTTGAATGAGAGCAGGAGTGGGTCCAAACATACAAGGTTTCCTCCTCTATGAGCTATCAGTTATTGTGTTCTCAGTGAGAATGTAGCATTTTGGGATGGGATTGTTTTATCCACCATGCCACAAGCTAATGTGACAAACATGAACTTGCCTCCCTAGAGGTACAGAATCCTATCTCGTTCAAAAGCACTTTTTCAGTTATTAAAGGGTGACTGTTTTCCTTTCTGCTATGCCACATTTTAGCTCACGGAATAACTCCATGAGACTAAGCAAAGCTGTTCATTCACGGTTTGCTCTAACGGACACTGAAATCAATGAAAAAAGGCTCCCTATGGTTTCTGTGTAATTGAATAAAATGCCAGTGAGGTCAATAATAGTTATGTCAGTGTAAGAATCACAGGAAAGTTTAGCATTAAGGCATTGGGTGTTCAGCTCAATATATGCAGCCTTACAGTTAAATAAGATGCAACCAGGGTTTCAAATGGCCCCCATCAGTAGTTCCAGGCTGTAAGCAGAAATAATAGCATAAAGCAGTGAGAATGAACTGTGTAAATGTCACGGAGGCATTTCAGCTAGGAGGTGTGTGCAGCACTTTATTATACAGATTTCTAATGGCAATGTTTACTTTTGATGGAATGTTTTTATGTTGCTACATTCTAGTGTGTGTTTATTTGGTGATTGTTTAATGTTACATCACTCAGTCTGTTCAGAGTCAATGCAAAAGAAGAATTAGTTCAAAGTGACTAATATCTGTATATAATCTACAGTCTGGTTTTGTATTGTCTGGGCACAGATCCCTTGCATTACTTTTCAAAATGATGTGGCCTGACTGTATCAACATGAAATTGTTTTTCTCAAGGCATTTTTGGAGTTATGGCTTGATGTATTGTTACGTGTCTTCATAAAGTGTGTCTGTTATTATCTCATTACGATAATAAACATGATATGTTTACAAGCAAATTATTCTTTATTGTAGAATCTTTTTTCTAATGATTCTGAATGAATGGTCATATTCCAATTCCTTCTGAAATAGGAGTTTAAGGTCACACTCAATCATTAAATACCTTCCAGTAGACTTGCAGTGATGTATTGGATTTTATTTTATGATACCGTAGATATCTGCTAGGTGGAAGCACAATTGCTCAGTTGTGTGTCAGTAGCCCTATACTGCTAACAGTTAGCTTCTCCTTTAGCTCAAAGGTTAGGGGAGCAAGACACACTATTTATTTAGCATCTGTTAATCTGAGTATGAAAGCAGTATCAAATGATCACCCCACAAAGCATAATCACCCCACAAATGACCCCATGAAGTTCCTGGTGGCCACGAGGGGCAGCCTAGTGACAACAGTGAAGTCTATGGAGGACAAAGTTCTGTTACAGTGTCTTAGGTACATCAGGAATCAAAATGGGAGGGATCTGACAAGTGGCAAAAGGTTCAGGGTTGGACTTTCCCAAAGGTCATGAAAAGGTTTAACTGTGGGGTCTGGGTGTCAAATTAATGTTTTTGATCATGGGTGTACAGCTACAGCCTAGCAAAAGTGTGCTACAAAGCTACTCCCCCTATTCTCCCATAAGGCCAGAATCCAGCTGTGTCTCTGTACAGAGGGGGTACCGGTAATCAGTTTGTTCTCCATTTCAAAGTAAAGGTTTCTCATGACCAAACGCCTCCCCTGGTTTGGAAGTTACAGTGGCAAGTGGACCATTGCATGCACGTGCACATATTCAATGCGAGGCAGGACTAAGAAAGATCTCTTCTCTCTCCCCAGGCAACTGCTGCCAGTTTTGGAAGGCTAGAGTCTTGCAGCCTCACCCCAATGGGAAACCACCAGATGCTTTAGTTAACTCAGCCTGAGAGAGCAGCAACATCCCCAGGCATGGTGGGGCATTCACTAGCTTCAGCCTAGTACAGGGGTGGGCAAAAAGGCCTCTATGAACTGGATCTGGCTGGCCAAGCAGGTTCATCCAGCCTGCGGAGGCTCTGCTGCTCCCCCGCCCCAAAGCCAATCATGGTCTAGGGACCAAGGAGTGTGTGGTACTTGGAATCAGCCCTGGCAGTTGACCCTACGCCCTGCACTCCCAAGGGCAGGGCTTAGGGACAGAGGGGAGCATACAAAGTCTCCTCCCATCTTGTTCCTGACCTGAAGGGAGCATGTTGCAGGAAGGGGGCAGGTTGGGAGGAGACTTTGCGCACTTCCGCCACCCCCAGGCTCTGATTGGCCTGGGGACAGGGCAATAAGCGAAGTCTCCTCCTGCCCTGCAAGGGGCATGGCACTTTTAAGCACTGTATGCTCCTTGCAGGATGAGGGCAGGGAGGCAGAGACTTTGCATGCTCCTCGCAGTCCTTAATTGGCTGGGGGGCAGAGGGGAGTGTGCAAAGTCTCCTCCCACCATCAGGAGCATGGGGACCTTGAGGGAACCAGTAGCTGTTCAGAACAGCAGCGGGGGCAAAGACTTCATAGAATCCTAGAGCTGGAAGAGACCCCAGGAGATCATCAAGTCCAGCCCCCTGCCCAAGGCAGGACCAATCCCAACTAAATCAACCCAGCCAGGGCTTTGTCAAGCTGAGACTTCACACGCTCCCTCACCCCACCAATCAGGGTCTGTGGGTCAGGAAGCACAGAAGTGTCCTGGCTCCGCCCCTTCCGGGGCAGCCAAGGGCCCCTTCAAAAATTTCTGAAGTGACCCCCCCTCCCCCAGTTATTGCCCATGCCCCTAGCCTAGACCCAGAAGCTCATGTCAGGGTAGCACTGTGACTATTTACACGAGGCAATTTACAGTAGTAGACCAAATCCTTTCTTTTGAGGGCATCCAAAGAAGCACAATGTACAAAGCACAGTTCTGGTCTGACTAGCACAACTATCATCTAATTTTTGCCAGTGCCTTAAGAATCTTGAGTTATGCACAGAATTTTATAGTAGCCTGTTAAGGGCTATACAATAGTTACCAGTCTCGCTCTAAGGGAATAGAAACAACACACCACAAACTACAGATGTTTACATTAGAGGAGCATGGGACTCTGACTCATCCACAACAATCTAACCTGAAAAGGGGAAACACAAGAGAATAAACAGAGACAAGTACAAGCAGTGCTACCTGCCCAGCCCCATGTCTCTTTTCATTAGACACAGAACAAGAGACACCTGCCCAGCCAACACGTGCAAAGCTGTCACGCTCAATTTCTGTCTGCTCACGTAAAAGCCAGACTGGCCCATTCCAGCACCTAGAATACTACCTCCTAAATGCTCTGCTAGGCATCAGCTCACAAAACCATTTTAGCCAACTGGAAAGACCTGCCTCATTGGAGCCATGTAGTTTAGACGTACCCTTAGAGACTAACAAATATATCATGAGCTTTTGTGGGTAAAATTCACTTCATCAGATGAGTCGGGGTGAAAATTATAGAATCCAGGGTATATATAATAGGCAAAAGCAGTTACCTGTCAATTGTAGGGCCAGTGTTAATGATGATAATTGAGTCAGACTGGATGTATCCCATTCATAGCTTTTGATGTGTAAATGCAAATTGCAAAGGTGGGGGAAATTGCCTTTGTAGTATGTCAACCAGCTAATATTCAAGCCCAAGCTTATAGTGTTGAACTTGCAAATAAATTTATAGTATGTTGTGGGGGTACCCCAGTCCCCCTCCCCTTTGTTTGTCTCGGTCTTTCCTAGTGGCGTTCTCCCTGCTTTCTCCCAATTGCAGATTTACTGCACTTCGGGTTTGCAGGGTGGAGGGTCTGGGCCCACCCTCACTCCCAGACCCCAGCCCAGGGCCCTAAGGACAGAGTCTCACAGACCTGTCCCACCGGAGGGGTCGTCGCAATTATTTAAATTGCGGCTTCATTTCCTTTTGCCGAACAAACAAATCTACATGGCTCCGTCGATGGAGCCATGTAGTTTAGACGTACCCTTAGAGACTAACAAATATATCATGAGCTTTTGTGGGTAAAACTCACTTCATCAGATGAGTTGGGGTGAAAATTATAGAATCCAGGGTATATATAATAGGCAAAAGCAGTTACCTGTCAATTGTAGGGCCAGTGTTAATGATGATAATTGAGTCAGACTGGATGTATCCCATTCATAGCTTTTGATGTGTAAATGCAAATTGCAAAGGTGGGGGAAATTGCCTTTGTAGTACGTCAACCAGCTAATATTCAAGCCCAAGCTTATAGTGTTGAACTTGCAAATAAATTTATAGTATGTTGTGGGGGTACCCCAGTCCCCCTCCCCTTTGTTTGTCTCGGTCTTTCCTAGTGGCGTTCTCCCTGCTTTCTCCCAATTGCAGATTTACTGCACTTCGGGTTTGCAGGGTGGAGGGTCTGGGCCCACCCTCACTCCCAGACCCCAGCCCAGGGCCCTAAGGACAGAGTCTCACAGACCTGTCCCACCGGAGGGGTCGTCCCCTTAACCACCGGTGCGCCGGCTCCGTGCCCTGCCCTGGGCTACTTCCACCCTACTCCTGATGTCTTCTTTACTCCCCTCCCTAACTCTCTCGCTCTCTCCCCCCCTCTTCTACCTTGCTGGGGGAACTTTATACCTCCCCCTCCACCTTCCCTTGGCAGCCATGTTGTGCGTTGCCGGAGAGACGCGTTGCCTAGCAACGCTTGCTTTCGCGCGGGCCGGTGTGTAGAGGACGGCGCTACACTGCTCGCACACCGTCCGCTCCTGTCTGGCCCTCCCCACCAAGGACAGCGCGATCGCGGGATCAGTGCGGGGTGGGCCTGTTTCAAGGGAGTAGATGGGCCTCACCCCGTCACATATGTGTTATTTAAAGGGAATCTGTCCTCTCACAATAGCACCATGAGCCTTGGGGGGTAATGCAAGAGCAAGGAGAGGAGTTAGTGGTACAAGTGAAGCAGGACTGGCTGGCGCACATAGTGAAGTATACCATCTTTTGTAGTGTTGTCTATAAATTGAATGTGCTATTCAGTGGTTTGACTGTTTTTGCATGGTGATTGGGATGAGCTTAGTGCCTTAACCCACTGTCAGATTTGAAGAAAGATTTTTGTTCTAAAACAGCGAGTTTCAACCTGTGCTTCCAGAGACCTAGAGTTTGGCAGATTGTATCTAAGATGTGCTCTCAGGCCAATGTTCCTTCTGATCTTTTCCGTGCAGAATACATTTTATGTACACCAAGTCATGTGCGAATGTGCACCACCAATAGAAATACAAAACCTAGCTGTGGGTGCTCTGCTAATCAGCTGGGTGGCATTTGAATTTGTCCTGTGTGGTTGCACAAGCACACAGCTAAGGGAACAGTGTCTCAGGCCTTTTTGCTGAAAGGAGCATTATCAGCTGCCATTAACTAAAAGCAGGGAGTCATATCCCATCAAACAGGGGCGGCCCGTGAGCATAGGCAGACTCGGCGGTCGCCTAGGGCGCCGCTGGCCCGGGGCGCCCAATGATGACATCACGGCCATTGACGGCCATGAAGGCGGGGGCGCTGATTGCACCTTCTGCCTGGGGCACCAGCTGCCGCAGCCGGTCTTGGGCCGCTCCTGCCATCAAAGCTGTACAAAACTACAGAATATGCAATTGTTATGAAGGCACTCCAGCCCTGTAGTATGGCATCAACAGTGGTCAGATCAACAGACACACTTTAAGATGTTTAAAGAAAATCTTTGCAAAATAACTCTCTGTCTGGCAGAACCATTTACCAGCCATCTCAGATTTGGAAATCTGTATTTCCCTTTGGTTTCACTGTCAGTTGTTTCTGTCTGGTTTTTAATTGTTTCTGTCTATTGCATAACTGGTTTACCAACATTTGAAGTGATTCTTCTCTGTAGGAGGTAGTGCGCTAGAAATTGATTGGATAAAAGATTGTTTTGTAATACATTGGTAAAAGCGATTAGTTACGGTGCTGCTAAACAGGACCCTAGCTTTATATAAACCGGGGTCCAAAAGGGAGTTCTTTAGGAATCTAACTCTGGGACACAAGATCAAAGCTGCCAGA